TGGATAATAGTTCCAAGAGAGCATGCTAATTGAAAACATATTTCAGAAGGAATTCTGCAACAAATACTATCTGGCCACTCATCGTGCTGCGAAACACGGACCATCAAATCTAATGCTATCGTCGCAATCGGGTGTTGATCTGTCAGCGTTGAGTCGTGGTGGAGGAGGCGGTGATGTCCCATCAAGTATGGACATCCAACAGCTGATGGTTGGATTGGATCAGGTAAGGGGAGAGAAGGACAAACATTTTGAAAATTGACTTGTTGCCTCAGAAAACAGAACGGATTACGAGGACCCCAGAATTTTTTGCATATGGAATAGTTCTGTGGAGATTTCTGTGGAGATTCTTCTGTTTTGAAGACATAGTTCGCGCAGGTCGTATGGGCGGAGTAAGACCTACCAGAGTCTTCTTTACTCCAAGATGGCGACAACAAGTGTTCATCGACGAAGGAAGCACCATAATAGGCTAAACTCCGCCCATCCGATCAGCGTAGACCGTTCCCTTAATATACCACTTCCGATTAGAAGGGGGTGTCGGAGAATAGCGGTATCTCTTGTGAATATAGTTGAAATTCTACCCAAGTAGCATCTGGGTGGAATTTTGTATTCTCCCCGAAAACGGGCAGGAAACAGAAACCAGGTAGTGGGCAGTCAGTTGACTGCTGGATGTGGCCATCATGGTTCACACTGAGTGCTTTTTCTCAAAACGTATGGCCTATTAGTAATTTAAATGTTGAAATTTAATTGGTTCGGGGGTGCAAATCGAATTGTGGCACCCACATGAATCATCACAACTGCACAGCAGTGCACTGTACAAGTGGATCTATCCGCTGTTGCCATTTTGATGAACAAACAAAGGGAGAAGCGTCAGCTGATCGGCTATAGGTTTTTGTAGCCGTACATGCACTACGAGAAATCGCTTCGTTTGTCCATGTTGAAGCGAAATGGGCACAATTCACCAAATTCATTGTCCCGTGGTGAAATCCGTATACTGGGGGCTGGACCAGTTCGGCTTGGAGGGGGCACATAATATTACGTCAGCAAAGCTTAGTTCTTGTGATCAAAGCGGCTCACTCGCGCAGTTTCGCAGCATCACGAGAATCAAGAGTTCTGACAAAAGTGAGGCCTGTTAAGAAACATGAACTAACAAAAAGAACTACGTAAGTGCAAAGTGCCCCCTCCAAGCTAAACAGCCCTGAAAGATCTACTTACCCTACTACGTAAGCGCACAAGCAAATGATTTTAATATCGAATTTCAGCCCGGATGACGACATCAGGGCGGTTTAGAAGCCTCCCATGTCCGCGTGCGAAATTCAAATTTGAACAGCCGAAATAAGTGCACGGCCATTACATATGGCTCCCTGCCTTTCGTTTCGCCTTCGTGCCAAAATTGTGAAATAGCGCTCATTCCGTCCGTTCATATCCTTGCGCGTTGTCAATGGTACCTTACTTGAATCATTTACTTGTTCATTTATTCGAGGACGATCTCGATTGTGAAGGCTCTCGCTGAAAAGGAAGCTCCACTCTAGTTGTGTAGGCGGAGACAGTGAGCATTTGCGGCTGCTCACTAGTGCGCCTTCTCTCTTTACCGTCAGGAACGACTCACGGAGAAGGGTCAATTGTTGACGGCCTCCGCCCATACGATCAGCGTGGGCTGTGCCCCATTAAGCAATCTCTGTGTGTCGTTACTAACGGCAAGAAGAAAGGGCGCGTCAATGGTGTAGCCATGGTTGTTGACTGTCTCCGCCCATGCGACCAGCGTAGACTCTGCCTTTAAACCTGCGTTCTCTTGGCGAGATCTTCTTGTTTGAGGGCTCCTGATAACTGCTTCACCTAGGCTAGCGTGAAAGGGCGTTGAAAGGTTAAGCTGTTAGTCCGAAGTGCATAATCTGATTAAATAGTTACTAAAGAACCTGTAGAGCATTTTCCTCTTGAGATAGTATCCTCCCATTGTTCGCTGCTATTTTTTAAGAGTTTTCCCGGAGTATAAGAAGGAATAAGGGAGAACCTAAGAGAACCACCGAGCGAGTAGATAACGTCCAAACAGAATAAATAATCAAGCGAATGAACACGTTGCCCATTTCAGTCTGCTCTGTCCGGAAACAACCCGCTCCGGAGTCTGTATCTCTCCCAGATGGGTATGGGTGGCGGAAGTCCTTCCCCGTCAAGTCTACCATCGTCAGGTTCGGCGTCAATCACTGGCGGAGGACAAGATGCTGGACCGGAGCCATCTCCAAAGGTCTTTAAACCGTTCTTTTTAGTGCTACTCGCTCTACAAAAGGGCATTGTGGATTAAAACGTTATCAATTTTGAGAAGTTGTACTTTTGGTGGCCTGAGAACAAAGGCAGGAGAAAAACTACAGGAAAACTATTTCAATAACAATTTTGCAGGCAACAACGCCACCCACGACGCAATCGGACAACTCGTCCGGTGGTGGAGGTGGGCTGCCAAACTGGTTCACAGGATTGTTGCCGCCACAGATCCAGCAGCAAGGGTACGGGTTCGGACATCAAAAACCGAATTTTGTGGTTATCACGCGATGAAGTTTTGAATATTTCTAGGCTATCATCAAATATGAATTCACTTTTGGAGCAAATGCAAGCTATGCAAAATCTGCAGCTGTTTGGTGGTAACATGGGTAGCAACATGGGCGCCTTAGCAGCAGCTCTGGCCCAAAATCCAGCAACCGCGGCAGCATTTCTGGCAAACACACCCAATAAGGTGAGCCCTTCTGTTCATTTTTTCCGTTGATTTTATCGAAAGAGCATTTTATGCTCCTACCGTGGTCTGACGAGAAAGTGCACGCCTTTTTTTTGCACGAAGCTTTTTTATTTGCAGTGCTGTCCTTTTAAGAGAATAAGAAGAAAATGATAGTGTGATGTGGTTTTTTGGGTGATTTGGGGGCTGCGTCCCCCTAAAAATGCCGAAGAGATTGAATTTGACTTTTCATCGAAAAGAGAACAGTTCATAAATTGAAAAATCATTTTTTTCATGTTTAAGAAACTGGTTCGGTTTGGAATGGGAATTGAAAGTTCCCGAAATGATTAGTTTCTAGAAATTCCTGTACTGCAACGACTCTGTTTGATCACTGCCTGTCCATCTCAGCCCTTTACGATCGCTTTTTGAGGACTCCTATAGGGATTGATTTTCGTAGCCCTTATTTTCTAACCCTCACCCTCGCTACGTCCTAGGGCCAGTGGTGACTTTTGACCTAGGCTTTGTTGACATCTTCGAGCTGTATCTGGGTTTTCGCGTTATTTTTTTCAATTTTGCCACAAAGCGTCAGAATTTGTTGCGCACACTAAGCCCCGCCTCTTAGTCCCCGCCTTTTTTGAAACTTTGGGCAAAATCTACGACCATACTTAGCAGCGAGTGGGGTTGGAGGTCTCTATGATTGCTGGCCGCGTTCATACTTAGCGACTCGAAGCGATTCAATCATGTGAGTTCGCGAATCGCGTAACCGCAACTGCAGCGCACCCGGAAAGTCTTCTGAAAGCCTTGTTAGCCCTAGGTACCAACGATTCTGGAGTTTCCAAAGCTCAACCCGTCTTTCGAAAAAATGTAGCTGTAGCCTTCATGTAGCCCAGGTACGCGATCCCGTGGGTCACCTGTTGACGTGTCAATGACGTCACCTAGCGTGGCCGATGACGTTTCGAGTGAGAGGTAATGATGCTATACAGCTTTTCTCGTCCTTAACACGTCGTGACATGTGACACGTGTGTTACGTCATCTTCCAGCGGACCTGTTCTACACCTGCGCTAGCCTGACCGTGATTCTGAAATTTCATTTTTTCCAAAAAAAAGAGTAGATTAATCAATAGGTAAAGCTAACGGATCGCAGTCTCCCATCATATCCGTCTTCTCCTCCCCCCCCCACTGATTTTGCTTCTGAGAAGTTCTCATTTTTCATGGAAATTGGCTGGCGTGTGTGCGTGAGTGTGTGTGCATTTCGGCCGAGTGTTTAAACTGAAAGCACATTGCTGTTGGTTTAAAAAAACCGACCGACATATTACATTCACGTTGTGCAAATACAGACGTCGTTCCGTCAAAATCCTCTGCTGTGTATGAAATTGCAGCGTTTGTACTCACTGAAGTGCTTCAATTTCGGGCTTTGTCCTGGTCGATTGGAGCTAGTGGAAGTTTGGCACTCTTTCTAGTGTTCCAAACCTCCAATACCTATTGAACAACTTTCCAGAAGCTACTGGAAAAGCTGGCGTAATTTCAAATGCCTCAGGTTTGGAGCACTCGAGACGTTTAAAATCACGGCTACTTTTTGCACCAAGAAGGTCGGTTTACCCAACGGGGCGCCCTTTTCGACCACGCTTTACTGGAACAATCATCCTCTGGCTCGCAGGCTTCTTCAGCTCCGTCCCCCCCCTGCTCGTCCTTACTGGGCCGTGGCCTGATTGGTACAGCGGCTTTTTCTTCTTCGGTTTCGCTGCACATAGTACTTTTCGAGCAGCCCGTCCAAAGAACGCTGCTCTCTTATCAAAAATCGTTGAAATCAAGAAGTGGCTGCACAGCAGCAACTTCAGTGGCCTGCTCTGTTTGTTTTTCTGCGTTAGGACATGGTTGGCTCGTCGCCCCGGTTCAAAGTACCGTAATTTATGGCACGGGTACGGTAGTCCTTTTTTCGCTCGTTCCGTTTTGTTCAACAATTATTGTTTTGGAAATGATAACGAGATCTATGGAAAGGCATGCAGTGGCAGAGAGAGAAATTTCCCTTCCAACCAGACCCCTCTTTTGCTCGACACTGAAATGCGACCCCCCCCTCCGCAATCCTGTTGAGGATTCTGGAGGTGAAATACTGCGGATTTATTTTCAACGTTGTACTGACTATGGAAATGCCTCGTTTGGTGTAGTAAGGTCAAAAAATAGTGCAGGATGCGTTTTGCTGGAAATCTTCGCAGGAGTGAAAAGCTCAGAAGTATCTGGGTAACAGGGGGGGGGGGGGAGGTGAGGGGAAAGGGGAAAAAGTGTGTGATGAATGGGAACGCCGTTGTCTTAAGAATGGAGAGGTGGATTGTCTCTGGAGGATTTCCATAACAAGTTGGGTTCCTGAACGAGTTCGGGTGAAAATCTATAAATCTTCCGCGCCTACTCCGGGCGCGGATCTACGTGTAGTAGTTCAGATCGGCGGTAAGTCTACCGAGCGTCTGTCAGTTCTAAGCGTGTCCCGCTCTCGAGGTTCCCAGAAAGGCTCACTTCTAGGGCTCCGCGGGACCCTACTGGTTGAGCGGAAGTGCCTAGAGCTGGGTCATGTCTTGCTGTAAAAGTAAGAAACAGTATCCCAAGGGGCTAGTTTCCGAGTCTCCGGGAGAGAACCTCCCCTCGGAACTCTGAGGTAGAGAGGCAGATGGAAGTGAGCATCTAGTTTTAGAGGTCGTATCTGAAGCAGCCAGTAAGGAGGTCGTGCACAACAACCACTTTTCATCATTTGCATGATGTATCTTGTGCTCGAGGTGAAAGAGAAGAAGATATGCAGCAAAGGATTCGTGGAGCTCGTTGTTTTTAGCGAGGACTACGAGGTCCAGCTATAGCGCTGTACTCAAGACCAGAAAAGCTATTAATCCCGAGCGATGTAATTTTGTGAGGAATGGGATATTTTTATAGTCCTATCAAAGAATGAAAGCGTATGTTTAAAGTCCTGTAAGTGCTGTTTTACAACGTGTCGAAGTGATTGGACATGTGGTTGTCGATGGGTTTTCAATTTCGGGATGATTTCGAAGAAAATGCGTCTGGCTGAACCGGCGGCGCGCGCGTCCGACATGCAGCTGTGATAGCGCGCAAAAGTTGTAAGCTGTGAGAGAGATATTTTATAATCGAAACAAACCTAACAACTGTTTCGTCGTTTTCATTTCACTGACGGAACATTTTGAAGAATTTGTTTGTTGGAGTGGAGATAAGTTTTCGTTTGCCGCTGCTGTACTAACTGATGCGAGCTGCTGCTGCTGCTACTTTACTCAGTGTGGGGATGATTACAGCCGAAAGAAAAGCTGTTCACAACGAGTCGATGTGATGTGGGCAATGTGGTGGTAAGTGGTGGTCGCGGTGGTGTTTACTTGGAGGAAATAAAAAGGGGAGCTTCTTGACTTGATTTTGTTCCCTTTGGGTTATGCGCCATGCATTGTAAACACCAGTTGTCACTTTAAGTAAGGGGTATTACTTAGCAGTAGCGAGTGCGCTTGCCGAGAGTAAATGCGCGCTGTTATAGTTCGTTAGCACGAAAAATGGAATGCTCGACAAGAATCTAGGCCCCAGGCACAGATTCTTGTCAGCATTCTTCGTACCCAGGCAGGCACAGTCACTGACGAGGACGCCACGGCCGTTCCTTACATTCTCAGCTCATTGGTTTTTAATTTCCCCATTTCAGTTAGCTCAAAAAAAGTTACGCTTCGAAGATTGAATCTTGTTGGGGGGTGGAAATTAAAACGCCACTAGCTCCATCGAATTCGTTCGAGCTTCTATATAGAGTGTTCCCAACTGCTAGCCGCCCCAAAGCTCCCATTTTTTCCCGGCAACTTCAAATTGGGCCATAGCCTTGCAGCAGTCACACGTTTAACGTTTGGTCAGTCAGTCAGTGTCCTTATCCTCCCATATGAGTCTAGCGCCAGTTTACTGGCTCTGAAAAGGTGGAAGGCTTTGTTGCGATGGGTGGAGATTTAAATCCACTGATGCTGTGGCGCTACGCTTGTGGAGGAACTTGTCACTGACATGCTGCCTCCGCCCTTGACCATTAACAGGTTGTCTACCATGGAGTTGCGAGGCAGCCCACGCGGAGTTTTTGATGGAGAGTTCGCAGAAAGTCCTAGGGGGTTCGGATTAGGAACTTTTGTGGTACGCGCGTTTTTGGAAATGGTTTCAGTTGGTTCGTTTTGTTTCAAGAACGAGGTATATGGATCAGACAAAACCGGTCGAATGATGCACTTTATGTGCTTCCTTTCGTCGGAATTTTTTCAAAAAATCATTCGTCAAGTCCTTGTTTAATATGAAGTGAATGGTAAAGGTGTAGTAAATCTGATGATAAGCAGACCGCTCGGCTGCGGACGTGTTGTGGAAAGAGGAAAGGAAAGGGGGAGGTGGGGGTAATTAGTTGCGACGGCGTGTAAGCAGAGCGGTGGGTGTGTTCATGGTTATAATCAGGGTGATATCTGGTTTTTGGGTTTGGTGGCCTATGGGGTTCGACTTATGTTTTACCCAGAGCGCTAGGCACGTCCCCTGTTGGTTGATAGTAAAGGATCATCACGATAATTGAGTACTGAGGTTGATGAATGTGAAGACTTGAAGGTGAAGTTCGAATTAACGCGGCGTATTCTCAAAATGAGTACACTCGTGCTGATCATTGAGTAGCGATTCGATACGGAAACGTGGAGGTTTTGAACGCATGGTATGGAGCGGTAGTAAATTAAATGGCATGTGGTGATCGTGTTGAAGCGGCGGGCGATTCGGGAGCGCTCATATGTTTTTGCAATGGCGATCAGTGCACATTGCCGGTCGGTGCCTTCTTACTTACAAACGCATCGTGGCTTGTGCGTTTGTTGTCAGTTTTTTGATGTGCGTGGTAGACGAGACAAAGTTGGGCGCAAACGGCATGGTTGCGATTTTCGGAGAGCGATCGTCAAACCGCACAGGATTATTCTTCTTTGAATTGCTGAGAGAAACTTGTAGAGTGTAGGGTGTGGGGGGGGGGTCTGTATCTAGAAGAAGGAGTTATGTCCATTAATTAGTTTGTGGGTTGTATTGTTGATCTGAAGAAAGGTTGTTGTGATGGGACGAACATTGATCCTGGTGATCTGGGAAGGTGAACTAGGCTTTCAAAGTCAAAAGCACTTTGCGATAGTGCGTTTAGACTGCCGTTCCAACCTGCTTGCCGTATTTTCTCGTCTTTCTGCCAAATCTATACACTTCATTGCTGGACCGCTTAGGCAGAGATCACCTACCCCGACTCTTTTTAGGCCCCATCAGTGAAGCTACCCAAAGAGAGGAAATACGCCAGGAAGGTTAGGTAGCATGTAAAATATGTCGGAATGCTTTTAGGCCCTTGAAAAAAAAAAAGTTCCCGAGGCGTCAGCCCAGTAGAGTCGGCTCCTCCCCCTTCTCCCCCAGAAGTTCCACCGTTAACCCCTGCCTTTTTAGACTCGAAAATACAGTCTGCAGAAAAGAGGAGGAGAATAGTCCAAGGAGTGCTGTCTTGTTTACTAATTGGATATCATAGCAATGAAAATTTTAAGTCAAACAGCAATAAGAACAGCTGCTGGCACGCATCACACACCATCACACCACAACGCGTCCTGGAAATCTGTCAACATAGTAGGCATCAGATTGTTCAGTAGTAAGTGGGTGGGGTGTGAAGTAGTAAGTCCACAGCAGGGACGGGCGCATAAACACCTAGTGTGGTGGAGTGTTTGTGGGTCTTCGAGGGATTCTGACTTGGCGTCCGTAAGGGTAGTTCAATGGTTCGGTCCCGCATTGGTGTTACTTGTTCGGACTGGATCTGGCTGGAAATTCCTGTCCAAGATAGGACATCCGACTTCGCGGAATTCTCAACGAGGAGGACATACCTGGGTTCGAGAGGGGTCTCTATCAGTCTGATGGGCGTGGTAACTTGGGGAAAAGTTGAAGCTCTCCACTGATTCTGGTATAGTGCGCAAACTCGCCCCGCACTCATTGACGAGTTTCCCGGTGAAAGATAAGCAGGTAAAAATGGGGGCAGTTCGTCGATGCACTTTTGCTACTTCCCTTCAGAGTCCCCTGTTAGAGGGCTATTTCATGAGCTTACAAGTGTTGACAGGTTTCATCATGATGGCTCGACGAGTTTGCTCCAGCTCAACGGGAGCTCACAGGTTTCACCAGGGTGAGGTTTGTAAGCCAGAACTAGATAAGCTGCGGCAAAATTGCCCCTCCCCCTCCCTTCGCTGAACTGCCCCGTAAAACCCTATAACAGAGGGCGAAAATAGGCGCACCGGCGATGGCTGCGTATTCCCATGCCGACACTCTTCTATTAAACATGCGCGTCTCATTCTCTGGACCCTCGCAGCTTCCGCGGCCACGCCCCTTGCTTTCCTCAGGTATGAGCTGTGGGTGGCGTGGGGTCTTGGAGCTAGGTTAGAGGTCGAAGGATGTCATACTTTAAGCACAAGTGAAGGGGTAATGAATGACTGGTTTTCCTATCGTCATGGCGTGCCGTGCACGCACCGTCGGGCTACCCCGAAAAAAGAGGGCATAGGGAAGAACGTCGTCAATTAAGCACTAATTTCAACTATCAGGTATAGTGGTTGTATACTCCCAGCGTTGAAAATACGACCCTTTCCCGGCGGCCAGGTGTGTTCTCTGATGGGATTTTGTTGAAAGATCCCCTGGTGAGATCCTTCCAACGACTCTGTACCTGTCGGGTGATGTAGAAAAGACAATCCCGGTTGTTGACTAAGCTTATGCTCAGGCAATTCAGAGGTGAATTTTGAAGTCTTGTAAATCACGTGTGTTAACAGCAAGTCATTTGTTTGTGTTTTTTGTTTTTTGTGCGTTTGAGAAAAACAATCAGTGAAATTTGTTTAAGAACTAGAGAGAGGGAGAGAAACTGACACAGGGAGAACGACGAATTGATGGAGATTGATCACCACTTGACTCTATCGCAATCTCATTAACTGACGGCATTTTTGAACTTTAATCCCGTCTGTTGGTAAAAATGAATTTCGAGGGGGGGGGGAGAACCCTTGGCTACTATTTGACGAATTATCGATCACTAGTCCTACATGGTCAGAGAAGAGTTTCTAAACTTGTATCACGGCTGCAGAGCATTGTTTGCGGGAGGGGAAAGAACAAGAAAACCAGTTCGTTTGGAGAAATTCGCTCCGGTTAGGTTCAACCGCGACTGAGAGATAGATGCCACTAGGGTTTTCAACCACGAATTGACCGTGAAATGATTGAAATTTTTCATCCAGTCTATGAAAAAGCGGCGAAAGAGGGGCCTAGTAAGGTCAACGGGAAGCGATCTTTGAGCAATAACTATGATGTCAAGTAGGTAGGCATAACCCCGGCGGTTCTAGCTGGATGCCAACATGTCTGGGAATAGGAGAATGTCGTTAATAAGGGCCTCTATCGAGGGCGGGGGTTCTATCGGAGGGCATTGTTTCCATGACGCTGATGTCCTTACTTGCATTGGTCGGAGGGGGGGGGTAGGCAGTTTGAAACAGACGAAAAAAAGTTCCAGTGAAATAAATCAGATGACATGAATGAAACCATAGCGTTCAAGGCCTCTGTCATGCCTCGTGATAGGTCTTTTGAGTCCGGCAAAGTGTTGAACGAAAGTGAAGTTGCAGCCATTAAATCAAGGGAGCTGGGGGAGGGGGTGAGTGATGGGATGGGGAAAAATACTGTAAAATGACCGGATATGCAAATTTCGATACAGGGGTTTGTTTATGGCGCAATTTGCCTTGGTGGGCGCATTTTGCTGGTTGCCATCGACCAATACCGATGGTTCCTGTGAAAACCTGTAATTCTTGTAAAACTTGACAAGAATGTTCTGATCTCATCGAATTAACGTGTTATTCAGCTGGAACTAGCAAAAAAAACTGACAAGCCAGGAAAATGCCCCCCCGCCCTCTCCGAGCCGAAAGCATTCTGCTTTTCCACTGTGCTTCGCTGTCAAGCGGCTTTGAGATTTCGTTCTTTTGCTGCTAAGCGTCAAAACTTTATTGCAGTTTAGGTGCTCTCCTCTACCATCTTGCCTGATTGATCCTGTGCTTTTCTTTTCAGTCCATGAGTGGTTAGGCACAATGAATGTGCCCACAGATGCTTGAAACTGTTTCAAGCTGGACAAAAGGGGCAAGCGTGCTTGTTCAGAAGTTATGGAATTATGTCATGGGAAACACGTTTCGCGATAACAAGGTGGGCGGAGACCAACAACGATCGGTCCCTTCTCATTGGCGCGTTCTTTCTTCCCACCACAGTAAAAATGGAGCGCAGCAATGAGGAAGGTGCAGAGGTTGTGAGGCTCCGCCTATTCAATCATTGCGGAATGCTTCTTCAACAACCCTTTAAAAACCAGCGTTTTCCGTTTGTCCATTGTAATAAGGAATCGTTCTCATTTGGTCCAATTTTCAGCTTCGTCCGCAAAAGAAGCCTGAAGGTTCGCCGATTAACAACGTGCCGAGCAGTCCACAACAAGCAATGAACATGCATCTTGGAGGTAAGATTTCACATAGACTAAGCGACTGAGCTTCTTGGCTATGCAAGTAGTGGGGAGGGCATTGAATGGAGGCGGTCTTGTAGGTCAAAGACCCCGTCTGTCGAGGGAATTAACGCATAGCGTATGTGGGAATCACCGTAGGAGGTGGGGGTGGGGAGACGGGTGCCCTTGAGCACTGATGGAGATGGTCTCATGCCTCGTACCGTTCAGCCTGGGTCCGGCCCCTTATAGAGTCCCAAACTGGTCCCAACCGCTAGTCCCCCCTCCCCCATTACCTTAAGGCTTATTTTTGGTGAATCCAGTAGAAAGGTTCAATTATTTCCTGCGTTCTTTCAGGCGCGTTTCCGTTCTCGCTTGTGCCGACAACTTCGACCGCATCATCACAGGCGTCGGTGATCATGAGTTCGTCAGATTCAGCCCGTGACGATGTGACGCCGCCAGCTGGTAAAAGGATTAAAACGGAAGAGGATGACGAGAAGACTGCCAGGTAACCGGAATACTTTTCTTCAAAAATCTGTTAAGTGGTTGCAACAAGGCTACCGTATTCTGGCCTCAAAGTGCCCTACTCAGTTGTACTTCGACACCGTCGGTAGAGTTCATGGTTCTTTTTAAAATGGGAACACATATTTGATATGTCGAGTTGATTCAAAGGAGATTGACAGGCTTTTATGATTAGAAGAAATTTCGTCGTCATTGTGGCGCCAATGGGACGTCGTGTGGTGCCCCGCGAAGAGACCAATTGCATCGGAGAAATGATTGCTACATTTCGTTGGTAGTGAATAATATGTCAAGAGAAAGTGCTTATCAGTTGGTTGCGAAAAGCAGTAAAATAGTAATTTGAAAGTGTTCTCTGATGGTGATAAGAGACTTTAAATTTCAGCAAAATGATTGCTAAGAACTGTGAGATATGGGGTGTGAATTAAAGAAACGAATGTACAGTTCGGCTTGGAGGGGACACCAAATGGTATTCAGCGATTTCTATAGAAACCACCTTGTGAAGACTTGTCAACTCATGTAACGAAAACGGTTCCACTTGTACCATTCCTATCATTATTATCAGGAATTTCACAAGAGTTCACAGGTCTTACCGAAAGAAACCTGTTAGTTATCATGCAGTAGGGGACCATTCAATACCAAGGGCCCTCTCTGAGCCGAACATTGCCGTTCTGAACTAAATGAGAGAAAGAGAAGTTCGAAATTCACGGGCAGTGGCAGTGATGTGGGAGGTTTCTTGTAGATTGTTTTCATTTGATTTGATCATTTCTGTGTACTTGGCACTAATAATAATTGTCGGTATCAAAATAGATATTCATGGAGTCTCACAAAGATGAGGGGGGGGCGGCAGGAAAGAGAGAACCTAAAAAATTAAGCCTGCTCAGAATAAGTGAATGAATTACCAATTGAAAAGAAAACAAAACTCTTCATTATCTTCAGATTAGATGCCGTTTTGCAGGAGAGAGGTGCAATGCCTCTCCCAAGACGGGCTGAGGCAGCACGCCCCCCCCTACCTACAGGACATGGAGTGTACTTACCTATGACCGCGAACAGATCCAAAAAGTGTCTATTTTAGTGTAGGTATCCATAGAGTACACAGCATTCCCGTGCATTTAGCACTGAAGCGTCTGACCTCCAGCTTTACATAGTCCTTTAGTTTTTAAAATGCCACCTTACAGTAGACGTTTTGTTCCCCAGAAGATTGTGGTCTCTCTAAAAGTTGCAATTCCTGGACCAAACGTGATAGGTAAAAGCTGGCTTCAATCTCTGCTCGCGTCCCGCAACGGCTTACATTACTATTGTCGTGTGCAAATGGAATCCGTGTTAAAAATTCGGTTGACTTTGATAGCTGACGCAAGCGCTTTGAAACGCTGATAAGGAAGGTCTTTGTAGGGAAAAATTTCAATGATAACGAGGTCATGCATTTGTGAATTCAAACAAAGAACATCCTAATTTGGAAAGAACAGAAGGGGGCAAAGCTATTTTTCCTGAATCGTTGGAATTTGACTCTTTTGAACCATCACTGAGCGAGCGTTTTCAGAGATTCTGCTGCCACAGCGGTAACATCCACGTTTAAATGTAACGAATGTGACAAAGCGTTCAAAAGTCTGGAATTTCTGGAACATCATAAACTTATGCAACATAGCGGATTTTCACAGCAGTGAGTTGTTCTTTTCATGTTTTTTCTGATCTTTCTTGGGTATTGAAGACACGTTCCGCGATTATCAAATGGGCGGGGTAGAGAACTGTTCTGGTTTCTTCCTTCCCTCTCTCTCAGAAGAAGCAGAGAAAGAGGGGCAGAAGAGAGAACAAGGCGGTGGAGACATTGAACCGTAGCCGCATGGGCGGAGGCAGATCCTGTTGGTGGTTCTCTGTTCCCGCCCACACGGTCAACGTGGAATGCACTCAAGATGCAGATCGATCCTCCGATTAGGTTTAGCAGTGGATGCGGAAAGCGTTGCGAATAGTTATTACTAATTAAAAGCATGGTTAATGAGAGTGCTAACCTACTTCAGACTGCAAAAATCGGGGAAATTGGGCTGAAATTGCAACAAACAGGGAAAATTTCATTTTCATAACGAGTTTGGAAATAGAGCCAGAACCAGGTTGCATTTCCCCCCCCCCCCCCGTTAGATTCAGGACAACAGAGCGCCTTTTCAATTGAACATGCTAAACAAGACATTTTGTCGCCGTGCCCTGTTCTGGTTTGCAACTCCAAACACGCCATCTTCATAGGAGTTTCTGGCCACGCCCCTGAGCTACCGCCTTGTTTTGTTAGAAAATCAATTTTTCACTGTTTCTGCAGTACCTGTGGGTAACCCTTCTGTGTCGAAGGAATGGTATAAGGTTCTTGAGAGAAATATTACTGTTCCTTGCCCCACTCGTTGTCCTGCCAATATTGATTGATATTGATTTTTCAGACTGCTCACTGGTTTGTTGCCACAAGGCTTCCCGTCGTTGCCCTTTATGCTGCCAGGTGGATTACCTCAACAGTTCCAGATGCCCGATATGGATTCACTGAGCGCGATGAATACGGTAAGTTTTGATGGCGATAGGGTCGTTATCGATTGACGCGACCAAACTATTGATCGGCGAGTTTATTCAGCCCAAACAAGCGCGGCTGCACAGTGAAACGTCCCGAGTACCTCGGCTCGAATTGGCAAGACCAATTGGCAGATTTGGGTGTATCACAAAAGGTTAGGTTATGTTCAGAGGAGGGTTGTTTAAAATACAAGACAGAATTATTGTGCGGGCGGATAAAAAAAGAAATTAATGGGATAGGGAGATATCTATTGATCACAATTTTTAAACTGATTGCTACGGGTGTAACAAAAATAGCTTCTTACGTGACAGCATATCGTTTGAAGAAATGCATGGCATAGTGATCGATGAGAATAAGACGGTTATTGCCAATATTGATACGTTGGAAAAAGAGCGTATGGGTACGCTATCATTTAGGTGGGTAATTTTTTTTGCTAAAGTTTCAGGGTCCCGACTGCCCAATACTGGGTTTCCCTGACTTGTTAATCTGCTATGGAGTTTGAGTCACTAAGTTTTAGATGTGATATCTGTCATACGGAGCATAAATCACGACACCTCTTGCGACAACACAAGCAGGACGTTCATGGTGTGGTGCCATTGTCGACCCCGTCCAACAGAAGTGAGTATTTTCCTGAATTTCTCATTTTTTACATGTTGATGGGGTAGGAGTAGCGATGCCTCCCAGTGTTTGCACAGTCCATAGGGTCATTTCTAGCCCATTACTAAGTGAGTCCAATGCCTTATCCGCTACCAGTGTTTGCACAGTCTATAGGATCATTTCCCGCCCCTTACCAAGCGAGTCCACTGCCTTATCCGCGAGGGCGTGAAAACTCGATTGACTGCCTTAAAGACACATTCCACGATAGCCGGGTAGTAAGGGAAGTGGGCGGAGACTAAAGAGATAGGCGGAAACTCGCAAGCACCATATTCCTCTTTGCTGCGCCACTCTCTCTCTACTATAGTTGAGAAGAGGGTGCTCCGAGGCTGTGAGCCCTTTCCTCATCTAGTTGTCGCGGAAATCTGCTTAAATTTCTGCCCTTGATCGTTTTCTGAACTCTGGGTAAAAGTCGATTGTATGGGGCGGTAATTTATCAGCAGGGAACACTTTTCTTTTACCAGTATTGCATTACTGATATGTGCATAATGATTGATGTAGAGGTGAAAATGGTGTAAAGAGTAATAACAGCTGTAGTTTCTTGGGGGCAAAGTGCTCTTCGCTCAGGGACCAGAAAAACGCGAAAGTACGGCACGGGTCAGACCTGGGCTGGTTGCAGGCGATAGCGAAATGATCGCAAATGATGTAAAATCGTTTGGTTGGGGAGCTAGAGTTGCGGGTTGCTGGCGGAGTGGGCGGGGTGGGTGTTAAAATAGGTGGAATCTTCGCATGACCCGGGAAAGACCGCTTATTGCAGGTTATAATGTTAAGTTTTGATTTTTCAGAACCGTCAACGATGTCGTCACCAGCAATTGGTGGCAGTGGGGCCGTGGCAGGCGACGAGAAACTGGAGAAGTGTCCGCTGTGCGAACGGCGTATGCCAGCGTCGAATCTCACCAATCATATCCAAGCTGAACATACCGGAGGTGGTGGTATGTCGATGACCCAAGCACCTCCGGCATCCCCTTCGTTGGAATGCAAGTTCTGCCCGACAACGTTCAAAGATCAAATGGAGTTGCATTTGCATCAAATTAATCAACATACCGTCGAGTTGTTGCAACAATCACAGCATGTCGACACTGTGAAAAGTAAGTGGTCACTGATTCCTTCCACAGTAATGTTGAAAGAACCCTGGAAGAAAACGGTAATGTTTTCAGAAGCGTCCGATACGACCACGGTGGTGTTGCGATGCCGGCGATGTCAGTACTCGACTCGTGACCCAAGGAATCTTGAGATGCACGTTGAGCGACATGAGCGGATGAATGAAGCGACACGGGAATCCGGCGCTGAAATCAATAGCGATGCGGCTCTTCGAGCTACCACAGAAGCGGCGCTGAAGATGATGGTGGCTAATCAGGTTGGTGTTCAGTTTGTGGGTACATGAGGGATTGCATGATCTGTCAAAAAATGCACCTAGTCTCGCCTCGAAGGACATTCGGATAAGACGGAAGAGAAGGGGGGGGGGTAATCACTTGAGCCATGACGCATCCTTACTGGTACGCTCCTCCCCTTCACCACCGGAAAAAAAGAGTTCGTCAATTAGGAACCCTTTTGTCGGGCGCGGAGACAGGTCAGTTCCTGTGAGACAGATCCCGCCTGGTATTCCCATACAGCATTCGTATGTATGCTGGCCTGCGGGCACTGGGAATCTGCTATGTGCAGGTGAAGTGAAAATAGACTTAAAGGCACAGTCTACGCTGATCGTATGGGCGGAGACAAGCAACCGTCGTGCTGATCATCATTGGTCCGGTCCTGCGCCCTCCCACTCATGCGTCAGCAAAGGGATAAGCTCATCTAATGAGAAAGGTGAGTGGTTCTCGCGCGCCAAGCAAATGCAGGGCGTTACTGTGCTTTATCAAGAAGTGAGTGGCGCTAGTAAAAGGGGTGAATGTGATACTGGGTATTGAGTAATGAACAGTAAAGAAAGGTTACCCTATAAAGCGCATAAGTGCTTGTTCTCGATTTAAGCTCCAGGAGGTCTACCTTTTGTCTAGTTCTCTTGCCTGTGGGCGCTGACACTGTGATCGGCAGTGTGTACACGTAATTAGGCTGAAGTAATTGGAAGGCAAGCCCTCTTATGCATTGAAGGCTGACCCTTGCAGGCTCATTATAGGGGACCCAACAAAAGGCGACGTCGCTTCTTCTCCTATTTCTTGAGATAATTTGAAGTGTGGCACTTTTAGCTCGATACGGATACCGTCAAAGTGCTCGCTGTGTGACGCAAGATGTCCAGATGAAGCCACGCTGGAAGCCCATTCGGCGGTCGCCTCACAATGGCCTGAATTTGACAGTCAGAAAGGAGAAGAAGGGAGGAGAATGACGTCGAGACGGAAAAGATCGCCAAACAGAGCGGCAATACCGCCACGCGTCGTATGATAACTGTTACTTCTTCTTTCAAAGGCACATTTCGCGAAAATCCGTTTCAAAACACACAACAGCAGAGGCAGCTGTCAAGAGCGCCCGAATAAGGTCGTATTTCTGCCAGGCTAGGGGCGAATATTCTAGGATTTCAAGCTAGAGAACAAAAACGGGCGTGAAAACGCGCGAAGCAGCACTTGTCAAGGCGGGGCGGAGCCACTTGCATATGGGCGGGGTCTCCTGAGCAACCTTACGCTTTAGCGCCCTTCCTCAAAACTTTATGACGCGAAATTAGTACAAGGTTGTCTTCTTGGGCACTACCTCTGCTCACGCATAGCTTCAATTTTTATAAATAGTCGCAAAATGTGTCTTTAAGTTTCGGGTTTTACATATCCATGAACTTTTCAGTCGAGATTGTCTATTTCAGAGCGGCTCGATGTCACCGTCGGGTGAATCACTACCAGAAGGCTTCGGCAAGCCGGACAGTGGATCCTGCGACGAGAAGCACGTAATGCAGTCGTTTGTGTTGCGCTGTACGGCGGACGCTTCAGGCGCCTTCCTATCGGAGATGATCGCCCATTTGCCGGTCCGAACGCTACTCTCACAACCGACGCGGGTCTCATTCGAGTTGGTCCCACATCAGGTGTCCAATGACTCGAATCCGTTCTAAATTGTTGCTGGTGGCGTATTACCCAAAGAAACCTCAGATCACACGTCTAAAGTCTTCCAGAGATCTTTCGCCCCCCGTTATCCTGTTACCCTCATCGTCACCGTTCTCTCGTCCCTCGCCAAGGCGCGTGCAATAGGGCTATGTCCCTCCTACCTGAAACGAGTATCTTCCCAGAAATCCTCATATTGATTGATAATTGATTGATGTTTACCCGTATCTATCCCCCCGTAGGCGTTCTCGTGTCGTCGTCGTTAGTGTCTCTTTCACTCTTTTGAATGCGCTCTGTCGTGCTTACTTTGTATGGTGCTTGTTGTTGTTGTTGTTGTCTAGAAAGAGAGATGTGTTGTTCCCATTGTAACGGTCATGTCATGACAGTTACTACAATCACCTGTATATTTGTTTTATTGTATGTAGACGACGTCGAGCCACAGCATATGTCCAATTAGGTTTACTGGCCAAAGGTTTCCCCTCGTTTATCTCCTCGTCAATAGGAAGGGCTAGCAGTACTAACGGTCAAGAATGAGTGTGAACGAGTGAGAAAAAGCCATAGTTCCATCCTTAAATTTGTCCCTTATCGAGCAGATCCTGCCATAAGTGAGGGTGTTTATAGTGCGCGTTGTGTAATCATATCATCGGATTTAACCTCAACTAGTTACATTATCAGTTATATGGTCTTTGAATGAAAAAAGACGAGTTAGGAGAATAGTTAGCCATATCGCTTGCGTGCACCACCCGTTACTCCCCGAAAGGTGCCAGATTTATAGAATAATTTCAGCATAAACAAGTCTCTCCCACCAATGAAGCATACCTTGCCCACGTCTATGATCATCTGCCCCGCCCCCTTCCAAAGATGGCCGCTGCCCCGCCCCTTTTTGAGAAGTGTGCATGTTGATTGTATCTTACTATGTCCTCTCCATACTCTCCTCGTCCTCCTCATTCTTATCCTCATAGTTTTGCGTTGTCGCTATCGTCACCCCCCCCCAACCCACATCACAACGTGGTTTCGCTTATTTATTGATCGATTTCCGTGTTTCTGTGTAGATATGATTTTTTTTCTCTTTTGAAATTGTAAATTGACACACACAAAATTGTACAACGCCACGCTCGCAACCCTCATCATTATCAGTTCTCTAATCAGGATGTCAAAAAATAAACAGGCGCGCGATTGTCCCCCCTATTGCACCTATCATCATCATCCTCAACCAAACGGCGCCCATTTGGTGCTTTTTCTACTCATCGTTTCAACACCGAAATGTGTCTGTCTCTCTCTCTTTCCCATTCATAGCGTGGCTATTTATTCTTTTTACGTATATTTGTAATGTTTTTATGTCAATATTACAATAAATTGTCTATTGGTTTAGTAGTTGTTTGGAAAATGGGAATTTCTATGGTTACGGATGAAATTACCGAAATATTGCCTTACAATTGACGTTTGGCATGCCATAGTTCCATGTTTGTTTGGCTGAGGGAGGAGCTTCGCAGGAGGGGCGCTCCTGAGATGCTCACTGCGTAATTGCTGAGCCACTTTTTTTGGAGTGTCTAGAAAATTGGAGACCTTAGCTGTCTACTATTAGGCCCGTCTGTTAGGTCAGTCGTTCAAACAGTAAAGTTTACGGATGCTGAGGCAATCCAAAGGGGCTGGGTTCGGCGCGGCGCTAGCCTGTTATTCACCGATTGTTGACGGGGGAAAAGACAACACTTGGTGGAAATTAGGATGGTTTCTCGCCAGACGCACTCGCCCTCCCCCCCTCCCTTCTCGAACAAAACTGTATAGACGAGCGGTAAGAAAGCAGTAGGGCTAGGGTAGCTTCTACATCGCTCGGGGCTAGTACATGTAGGTACGTACTCGAAAGGCTCACTGTTAGCCAATATGGCCACTGAAAGCAAATTGAAAAGGAGTCTGGGTAATCAAAATCAGCGCTGGATTCGCGAATGAGGCGTCACACAAGGAAAGTCAAATCAAATTGAAAATCGATCCTTGCTGGGCCAATAATTGCGTAGAATGGTGTTCTCGCAAGGAAATGTGAAAAAATGGATCCAGCAGTTAAAAGAAGGAAAAACTCGGAACTGCGTAGAATGGTGTTCTCGCAAGGAAATGTGAAAAAAAAATGGATCCAGCAGTTGAAGAAGGAACAACGAATATTTGGCTGAGGAGGGCCCAAATATTCACCCTGCACACGTGAATTGGATGAAGTCAAGCGTTGAATGTCTGATCACGGAGACTGGACCCTTGTTGAGCTTTCACCAAGGACTGCTGCTGCAACCGTTGGCCAAGTTACGGCCGAAAATTTGAGGACGGTCATGTGGGTGTGTTTAGGTGCCTCACTAACCTGAAGAAGCAGGACGGCAGAACCGATTCGATGCCTTTAGTAACAATGTTCTCCACATAAGTCGTCATTTACTGCGAAATTAGACTGTGACCGTGGAAGAAATTTGGAAGATCTTGTACTCGGAGCCCAAACTCATCGATTTCCAATGAATGTGGATGGGCTCGTATTATGTTATGCGGGAGCTAAAGAGTATGGCCACCTTAGTTATGGATTCCTAAGATGTTGCCGTTGCGTGCTCTTGTTCAAGAAGCCAAAGTTCACTGTCATCGTGTATTGCTTGTTCTTCGAAGGCCAGATCAAATGTATGGTACCACACAGCTACAAGGCAATCATTGTCAATCGAAATAGTAGCCCTTAATGTCGTATGTGACAAGACAATCGTAATATGCCATGTTGGTCGGCACCGCGATCGAGGCCGTGCGCGAGAGACGAATTATTTTCCCTGGCCATTTGAAATATCGAAGGAACGAAAAAATTCCATGCCTAGGTCTCGCGCTTGCATTCATAACGCGTTCGCTACTCCAGTCCACTAACCGGTCTACGGACAACTAAAACTCAATCCCTTTAATGGCGCCAACTTTCTGTTTTTCTCTGCGCTCTCTTGCCTGAGTGGCGATTTATGGCCACTTTGACCTTTCACATTCCAACTTTTCACGCATACTAAGTGGCTCATCCACCCCGGTGTCCCCTCCCCTCGAAAAAACTCATCTCCTGGCTCGCATCGTGTTTTTTGTACCTCACGATGCCTTGGCAGTAGCAGTCCCTTATTGCTCTGCGCTCTGGCCTATCGTGGCAGGACCCCCACCAAAAGTTTT